CCAATATTCTGTTGGTATTTACTGAGATCTAGAAAAGAGTAGAGTGGCATATACTGTTTAGAACAAATTTTTTTTTTTTTAAAAAAAAAAGAAAAAGTCTTTATGAATCGATACGATCGATATTCTCTTGCATAAAAGATGCCAATTCACTCCGGGGAACTCTTCGATGCGACCTAAACTTCCTATACGCATATTCGGCCAATTTTTCTGTTAGTCCTTCACGATACAAGTCCATATATCGCCAGGACTTTCTAGCAAATCTCCTGATTGTAATAATGTCAATGGAGTCAAGTGCCTGTAGAACAGTTTTTTGTAAACCGGCCCATGAGTAATCACAGTGGTTTCTTGTATAGAATTTGGCTGCATTTCAATGAAATTAAGTTCACAGTGATATTTTGGATAAAAAACACACAAATGGCCAGCGCTCTCTATTAATTCTACAACAGCTGACTTTTGTGCAAGAAAGTCCGGTTAAGAAGCCATAATCTTTCTTGCACAATAATTTACACGTAGAGGATCATTTGCCAATTTTTTATTCTTACACACCTTGCATTCTAAATGTAATTCTTTTCTCCAAAGTCTCCTTTCTTTCAATATTAATCTTAACCCTTTCGGCTTTCCTCTCATAGTCGGATCCTCATAATTTTCTCCAAAAACCATTTGCTGTATTTTTTTATTTCCATCGGAATCAAAAAAAGTTGTTGATCACATTACTGGTTGGTTCCCCCCAGGTTCTAAATTCATTCTTGATGTGATAAAGGCATCCTTTGCATATGCCGCATGGTTGGTGCTGTTATCAAAGGCAAAGACGGCAGTCGTATTGGGAAACTTCACTTCAAATATAGGGATTACTTTATTCCTTATTTGGTCTTATAAATGGTCAACCGTCCAATAGCTTTCTTGGTTTTTACCAGGCATGAAATAACAATGAGCCTCTGCAGGAACATCTGGGTACATTTCTATCTCCTTATCAGTCAATTTCAACCGACCACATTCTTCTGTTAGAAATTCGCTTACCATTATTGACCTTCCATTTCTCTTTTTTCGTAAAGGCATCTCACCATCATGTACCCAAATTCTTTTTTTTCTATCGTTTGAATAAAATATACATTCATCGTGGGTTACAAAAATTAACTCTTGTTCCTCTTCATTAAGTACTGGTGGAACTTTTATCATTGATTCTTCCTCATATGTTGCCATTCTCTACTCTAATGTTCTTAACCTATCTAAAAACACACTACAATGTCCTCTCGCTCATGTCCATCAAAATACATCCCCTTTTTATATTCCCTACATTTACATCCTAAAATATCCAACCACCTTTCCGCTGTTCGCAACCAAATTTTTTTTTGAAACCCTCCTATACACTCTGGTAAAATATAATCGTTTACATACTGTATAAAACCAGTTGGACTAATTCCATTTGCTTCTGATTCCTTATGTATCCATTCTTTACACTGCAAAGCAATGTCTTCATCATCAATGAGTCGATGGTGTTTTTGGTGTCGACCACGTTGTGTAATTGGAAATGATTTATGGTGTAAATAAAATTCTGCCAAAAAGCGAATTCTCTGGGATGTATATTGTTTTGGAGAAATACAGACAACACACGCAGCTTCATTACTTGCTTTCATCTTGCCATCACCGCCATCTAATCGCACCAAATATTCATAGACCGCTTGTCGTTCATTATATTCAATAGCTGTTAAATTTTTGTAAGGTCTTTCTTAAGTTGTTCGATTCTTTCATGAAGCGTAAATTCATCATTCACATTCTCATTCGAAAGAGACACCAAGGGCGTAGCCCTGCTGAAAAACTCACTTGCCCAGGAAGTCATAGGAAACATAGGAAACGTGGAAGGTATTAAAAGCCTTCTGGGCAACTCGCTTAATGATAATAACAATAATTAGAACCTTTTACATATACTAATTACGCAAAAACCAAAGACACCAACCTCGCAATCCTAAAAAAGTCAGTAATTTGACAGGTTCCCTTGGCAGCGTTTGCAAGCGTACCGGAAGCACCGAACTTACGATAATACGTTGATTTCGGTAATCTTTTAATTATCCTTGCATTTTCCTTTTTATCTTTCTCCCATATGATTGTTGGGGTCATCATTGCTTCTTCATCAAGTTCTTTTCCACTTTCTTCATCAAATTCATTACTTTTAGCAAATATGTCCTTGCTAAAGACATCTACAGCAAAGACATCTTCACGGATATCTTTAGCAAAAAAATCCTCCGCCCAGACGTCGTCTTCAGCAAAATTGTCCCTTCGAATATCCAAAACTTCTTTTCATCTTTTTTTGGCTTGCTCTCTCCTTTCATTGTTATATTCTTGAAGCATCCAAATCGTTTTGTAATTCTTTAGCTTTGGCATACTTTAGTGACTGTTTTCACAAGGTCGGATTAGTTTTTTCAAATAATGAAAAAAAAATAAGGAAAAAAATTTTTTTTACATATAATTTCTGATGAGAAGTACTCGAATTTTCTGATGTAAGGTACCCGAAAACAAAAACTTAACAGGACAAAAAAAAAAAAAAAAAATCGAAAAGAATTCAGATCCCGGACGCCCCAACTTTAAATTCTTAAATCCGTGCCCCACATTTTCTTCTCAGGTAAGTTGTTGGGGCATGAGAATAATTTAATGTGCCCTTTAATATTAAAAGACTTTTTTCACACTATTTTCTCGAATAAGTATAAAAATTTTGCAAGAACATTCAGTTATCATATGAAATTTATGATCCTTGTAAGTATACACGTGACTTGTGATCGACCAATAAAATTGTGAGTATGAGTAACATTAAATTTAATTGGCCGATCCAAGTCACGTTTTTTGTCCCATTTGTCATTAATAGAGCTGCAAACATTTAGAGGTCCAAGGTAGTACATCACTCCTTACGTCGTATAAAATTTATATATAAACATAGTAAACATCATGTCACATACGTCATGTCAAACGTCATAGTAAATATTAATTGATATTCTAATGTCTGCAGCTCTAGTCATTAAGCATATATGAAGTGGATTTTTTAAACAGTTATAAATCATAAATAAATAAGTTTTTTTTTAAAAAAAAGGCCAGTAAGTTGTAGTAAATAGAATTAGCTACAATTTGACGGCTTTTTTTTTTTTTGTATGATTTTTCTATTATAAGTTATTAGTTTTTAAAAATTATTAAATTTATTTTAGTCTTTAAGTATTGTGCACTGTAACTTTAATAATTTAATGAAACCAGTTTTGATATACTTTTACTTTTTAGTAAAAGCCAAGTTCAGAAGTTTTAGATTTTACAGAGTAAAATCTTAAGAGGAGGAAAATGTTACAAAGCAGGTTATAATACAATGTAATATTAGGATAGCATAGTATAAATTATATATTTCATTTTTTTTTTTTTTAAAAAAATTCGGCAATCTTGCCTTTACTTTATTAGGCTTGGAATATTATACTGAGAAATATTACAAATTTTCAAAAAACAAGACTATAAGATTAGGTCTTTACGATATCTAAATTGCAAGTATTAGCTCACCCGGCTCTTTGTAACTGAAGTCCAAATTACTCATATGCGATCTGCTATAAGCAGAATTCTTCTCCATAATATTTACTCCTGCACTTGAAGAAAATAAAACTTCACCAGAAGGTTTCTGCTAGCTCATCAAGACTACCTATTCTTTCTTTAAAACTTTTTCCACCTAGGTTTGGGCAGAATAGTTAATCTCTTACTTTTCTATAAGAAAAAACAAATATGCCACATTTACGAAAGAAAAAACTATATCTAGGAAAAGAAAAAAAAAAAACAGAGAAAAAAAGACATAACCAAAAAAAAATAAATTCTAAACAAAATTCTAACATAATAGAAAAAAAATGAAAAAAGCAAAAAAAAAAATAGGATAGTCCTAATGGACACACCCAAAGAAAGAAAAAGAAAATATACTATTATAACCCATACAGATAAGTATAAAAATTATATAACAAATGCAACATTTGTATATCTCTATTGTAAAGCTTTGCCTTAACATTCGATTTTTCTTTCCGATCTTCTGACTGACTCCAAATAACTACATTGTGCCTATCCTAATTCGTATCTCAAGCCAGGTATTGCTGCTGTCCGTAGACCTGTATTTCAAGCTACCTGCTGCCATTATTAGGGTTTTGTGCTGGAGCCAATTCTAATGTGCTGTATCCGTAAAACACATGATTGCAATTCATTAGGTTGTCTGAATTTGAAAAGTAAACAATGTCGATCTTTTGGAGGGGGTAAGCCAAATCTTTCACTTTTTTGAAAAAAATTTGGAAGACCAATAGGAAAGCAAGAAAAAGTAAAGAGGAGAACTACTTGACCAAGTAAAAGAGTGCGGCTTGGAAAAACTAAAGTTTTGTTGTATCCTCTGTGTTTTTTGTTAACAGTCGAGTAGTTTCATTGATGAAGTTGGGCTTTTCCACACTCCACCAAGATTTTATATACAAAGACGCCACCTCTGAGTTTATTGTTACCTTGCTAGTTAACTTGTATAGTAATGCTTCTGGTTTGCATACCAAATGTCTTTTAGAGAAGTCCCACAGAGTAAACGTTAACCTCTAAACAAACCACTACATTGGCCACGACTCTCCAACAAAAATTTGGTTTTTCTGTTAGTGGGAATTTTTGGTTTAAGTGATCATCGAAAAAAGTTTATTTTTGATTATATATTTCATTTATTGTATTATTATTATATATTAGTTATATTTATTTAGTATTTATTAGTATTAGTTATTATTATATTTTATATGTCAATATTTATTATAGTAGTTTTAGAGACATTATTGGCTAGAGAATTAAGGCACAGTAATACTGCACAAGTACCTCTTAGTACCTTCACACAAGTACCTGTTAGTACCTCTATACAAGTATTTCTCAATACCTCCACATAAGTACCTCTTAGTACCTTTACACGAGTATCTCTCAGTACCTCTACACAAGTACCTCTCAGTACCTCTATATGAGTACCTCTTAGTACCTCTATACAAATACCTCTTAGTACTTTTACATGGTTTGGCAGTTATACTATTATATCTTTTATGTAAGGAAAAGTTATAAAAAGGGAGCCTTTGCCTTTCTACTCAAATTAGAGCTAGTTAGCCTTCTCTACCCTCTCATAGTATCTAGCCTTACCTTCTTATTATTCTTGTCCTTGTATAAAGTGATATACTCTCTCTAGAGTAATTCTAGTAGGTGAGGTTATCCTCCTTGATCTATAATAAATAAAGTACTAATATATATACTGTCTTCATGTCAGACCATTTGCCTCCTGCTAGTGGAAGTAGTTTATATTTTACTTTCACCCTGTGTACATCCCAATAGCAGGGTCCCTGTACTAGGTAACCTTGTTACCTTGCTACGTGATAACCAAGAAGGCTGTAGTATTGTAATAGTAATTTGCCCAAAGCATTAGTGCTATGCTAGGGGTTCTACACTATTTGCTATACCTGTAACTCAACAATATAATTATTCATTTAAACCTTTTGGCCTTAACATATTCAGCCTAATGCTTATTTAAAGCAGGTGTAACTTACTATTCAGGTTGTAGGTTTTGCAATACTACTATATTATTAGCCAACTTAAGACACTTAACTATCCTTGAGAGTAAGCTCAACAGAGCAGTATATAAGGAGAAGTCAGTAGAAATAAGACAAATTTATTAGATAAATTTGTCCCATTTCTACTGACCTTTCTCTATATAACTCATATATGTATTTATTTTCATGTTTGGTAACTTCTTTTTTAATTAGTACCTGTTGTGCTACTATTACTAAGTTCATATTTTAAGCTGTTCTTTAGAATGCTGCTGTAATCCAATCTATATTTCAAGCTACAACTTTCTAATTAGTTACTAATTACTTATTCTTGCTCTTATTTAGTTTCTAACAACTTTAGTATCTATACTTAGAACTGTCTTTTTATCTGAATTCTTTATTGGTCCCTCTCTTACTTCTAGCTAGTAATCTGGAAGGATTGGTCTGTTTAGGCTTTAGGTGCCTTATAGTCATCCTCCTCCTCTTGGTTTATACTTTTGAAGTGTATATCCTTTTTCTCTAGTATGACAACCCAGTAGTTTAGCTAATATGTCTTCTGCTATTTTAGAACCTGATTACTTGGTTTTTTAATCTCAGGCCTAGTTTAAATTTAACCCTTCTATAGTACTATTAAAGATTACTGTTATCTTCAAATTCAGAACTTTCTAAATAGGTTTTTGGTTATATTAGCTCCTTAAATTTATTGTGCCAAAGCTTCTATTATTAGATAGTATGGCTGAAGTTACAAATTTAAATTTAAATCCAACTGATAGGCATAGCTGTCAACTGAAATACAAGCTCATTTTTTAAATATCATTATCTGTAAGATTCAAACTCTAAACCTGCCATTTGGAGAGAGTGATAACTAAACTACTACACTAAGTCACCACATTTTTAAAAAATATATATTATATAAAAAAGTTAAACAATTTATATTTAATATTTGAGCTTTAAACTTTTAACAAATTCTGTTTTTAGTATATGAGATTAAGTCAATAAAAATCAAGCAAATATTTTTTAGTAAGTTTTTTTTAAAATTTTAAACAATAATAACTAAACAAAAACTTGATCAAATTTAATAAAAATTTTTTTAAATTAATTCTACAAGTTTGTAAAAATTATTTAAAAATTTTTTTATTAAATTTGGTCAAGTTTTTGTTAAGTTATTCTTGTTTAAATTTATAAAAAAATTTTATTATAAAAAATTTGCTTGATTTTTATTAACTTACTTCTATATATTATACAAATTATTAAGAGGTGTATCTGCACAAAATTATTGTTATAGCTGATGCTAAAAATAGCTAATGCTTAAATTTTGAGATCTCTATTTAAACTCATAATACTGTATATACTAAAACTCATATATACTCTTTTATTAATAAAACTATCTACTAACTTTAATCTAACTATAAAAAAAAAAATTACAAAAAAAGCTTTAAAAATTTTTAAAAATTTAATAATAAGATGTGGCAACTTAATGTAGTGGTCTAGTCATTACTTTTTTCAAATAGCAGGTTTAAAGTTCAAATTCTACAGACAACAATATTTGGAAAATAGGCTTGTATTTGGTTAATGGCTATGTTTATCAGTTGAATCTAGAACTAAATCTGTAACTTCAGTCACATATCTAGAAATAAAAGCTTTGGCACAATAAATTTGAGGAACTAGTATAACCAAAAACTCATTTGGGAAGTCCCAAGTTGGGAGGTAGCATGATTTTTAATAGTACTATAGAAAAACTAAATTT